TTAAGTTTTAATTACAATTTTCACCTATTTATGTTTCAGGAGGTTGCACCTTAAAAAAAAGAGATCAGTATTTTATCATGTGCTTTCTTTCTGCCTTCAGCTACTTAAAACTGCACCAAGTAGGAATCAGAGAATAAATAGTCAAAAACATTAACATATTGCTTTTGATCAGTTCATAGAAACCACAACGTATAAAGGATCCTTCCAACATCATTTAACAATGTGTTACGAGAGTGTAGCCAGCAGATTCTGTCCAGGAATGTTCTGCATTTCATCTGCATACGGTTGCTATATGAAAAAGCTTATGCTAATAAACAAACTCAGAGTAGTAAATGCTCTTATGTTTAAAAGCATGTTTCATCTCCATGCTGATCCTGAGTGTGTTACAGAGCATGTATGTGGGTGCATGTATTATAGAGAACAGTTCTTCTAGTATCTGCTTTCTTCACAAAGTAGTCCTCTCCCCTCAGATAAAAAGAGACTCTGGGAAGTACAGTAGGACTCCCGTATCCGCTGGATGAATACCCACAGTTTCATTGAACCATGGGTGACTAGTTAATTCTGGGGTATTAAAGATCCATTCATTTGGTCCAGAACAGGGTTTCAGAACACCTGGACCAGGTGGGAGGCAGGGAAGGACTCCCTGCTAAGCCCGGCAGCAGATGGGATTCTCCTTGTTCCTTCCGCTCCCTCGAGGTCTCCCGGGCGCAGGCTGAGTCAGAAGTGAAGCACAGTGAGGTATGTGCGCTCCAGTCCTGGCTTCCGCCAACAAAAACAGCTGCAATTGAACCAGCATCTTGAAAGGTCTGGTGAAAGGGGGCAGTGGTGGGAGCTCTGGGGTGGGGTCTGTGCTCCATGGGCAGAAATGAGGAACTCCGACATGCATGGGGAAGGAGGAGGAAGAGAAAGGCCCAACTGGCTCTCACACTCCCCTTTCCTCCATCACCTTCTCCCCACCGGTCCCCATTCCTTCTCCACCTCACATTGAACCAGCATCTTGAAAGGTCTGGTGAAAGGGGGCAGTGGTGGGAGCTCTGGGGTGGGGTCTGTGCTCCATGGGCAGAAATGAGGAACTCCGACATGCATGGGGAAGGAGGAGGAAGAGAAAGGCCCAACTGGCTCTCACACTCCCCTTTCCTCCATCACCTTCTCCCCACCGGTCCCCATTCCTTCTCCACCTCACCCAGCTGATCTGG